GTCCCTGCAGCTCCGGTCCCAGGCCCAGCGGGCAGCCAGCTTCCTGTGGGCCCCTTGGGCCATTGACCAGTGGCTCCAGCTGAGGAGGATGCTGGGAAAGGAGTGTCCACCCTGAGGATGGTCACTGCCCCTGGGGGCCAGCCCAGCCCACTCTTCCCGCAGCCACAGGGAGGGGCTTGGGGTGACTCTTCTCCCCGTTCCCATCTTGGGGGAGAGTCGTGGCTGGGGGCTGGATGACTGCTCCTGCGAGGGTCACAATGACAGGTGATGGGGATAAGAGGGGACCCCAGACCTCCAATGCCGGGTCTGTACCAACCTCTAGTGCTAAACTAGCTAGGAATGGAGTGCTTGCTCTGTGCCAGGCACTGTGCTAGGGGAGGCATGTGTCCTGCCTCATTGATCCCCATTGAAGCGAGAACTATTATTACCTCCTACAAATGGGGAGACGGAGGCACAGAGAGGTTAAGCAGATTGCCCAAGATCACACAGCCAGTGAGGGGCAAAGCCGGGATTAGAATCCAGGCAGACAAACTCTGAAGCACCCATCTATAATGAATGAATGAATGAATGAATGAATGAATGAGCCACAGCTGTGAAATCTCTGCAATCATAGCCCTGACGAGTGCCCTTCCCCCGCCCCGACTCCGCATACACCTCTCAGCAGGGCAGGCAGGGTAGGAGGGCAGGAGGAGTTGAGAGGATCTGAGACTGGGGCATGCGAGGGGTGCCCTCTGGGATGAAGACCCCAAGGGGGGGCTGCTGTGAAGGCCAAGGACTGAGGGGAAAGAGGCCTTCAGGAAACAGTAAATTCAGAGAGTAGTGGGCAGCCTGGCTCACCATCCTGGGGCAGGGTCCCTACCGCCTCTGAAGGGTGTGCTGGTGCCACCTTGCTGCACCCCAGGACTGCTGAGCCCGCGCCTGCCAGAGCAGGAGGCACCGCGCCTGCTGCTGCCGCCCAGCGGCCCACAGAAAGCTCAGCCGAAGCGTCTCCAGGAGGGCGGGGGCCCTGGATGCCTGGGGAAGGGGGTGTGGACTCCTGGGTGCCCGGCCCCTGCCCATCCCCACCCTCTCCTCCTACGTGTCCCCCACCCACCCTGGCTCAGCCCAGCCCCTGCTGCTCACCTTCTCCGGTGGGCTTCGGGCTGTGCTGCCCAGCAGTTCTGAGGCCGAGGTGGTCCTGGCACTGCCTGACCGGTTGCCTGGTCCCCACACCCTCAAGCGCCACGCCCTCAGGATGCGCTTTAGCAGCCGCCGCTGCACGCCCTGGGAGAAGGAGCTATAGGAAGGGGCAGATGAGTTCCGAGCCCCAGCCTCACCCCCTGGCTGGAGTGACTGCTAAGCAGGGGCTACCCCAGCCGGGCCCCTGGAAAGAGCCAAGCTGGAAGGTGCTGCCACATGCCAAACACCTGGCCAGAGCTCTGCACCCCACCTCCCAAACCAGCCACACACTGGACCACTGGGCCCTAAGAAACACGGACGCCCGGGGTCCCACCCCCAGAGATCCTGATCCAGTGGCCTGGGCTTCCTGATGTTTCCTAAGTTCCCAGGTGACTCTGCTGAGCCCCACCTGTGCTGGTCACCTGGCTGATCCGTGACATGCTCCCGGGTGGGTGAGGGATGGGACTGGGCCCAGGTCCAGGGACCCCAGCCTCAAGCGGCCACAGGCCTAACCGCACTAGTACTCCTACCACTCAGTAATGAAGATAGGGACGCGGAGGCCTGGGGGAAGGCATTTCCTCAAGCCCCAAATAGCAGCAGGCCTTGGATCCGAACACTCATCTCGGGCCACGGGCAGCAAAGGTGTGCCACAGGGAGAGGCCGGCCATACCCTGATGCGGAGGCACAGGATGGGCTGGGCGTAGAAGGGCTACATGCTGAAGGGTTGTGGTGAACTGAGATTCCCTGGAGTTCGAGGGGTGCATTAAAAGAGACTGAGGGTCTAAGTGGACCAAATAGGTGTGGGATTGATGGATGCCAGGTGCATGGCTTTCAAGGGCAGAACCTGGCCAGAGCTCTGCACCCCACCTCCCAAACCAGCCCACACTGGACCACTGGATGGATGCCAGGTGCATGGCTTTCAAGGACAGAATTCGTAACCCTGCAACGGCTGGCTTACATCCACCTGATGTCCTGGGAGGGAGGCTGGCTCCTCCCCTCCCCTCACACAAAACCATCAATCAGCCTGGGCTCTGAATCCACCTTCTTGCTCCTGGTTCACAGTGTGACTTAAAGCAATTGCACAGAGAGGAAGGGAGAGGGATAGAGAGTTAGAAACATCGATGAGAGAGAAACCAGCTGCATCCTGCACACCCCCACCCCCCACTGGGGATGTGCCCGCAACCAAGGTACATGCCCTTGACCGGAATCGAACCTGGGACCCTTGAGTCCGCAGGCCGACGCTCTATCCACTGAGCCAAACCAGCTAGGAAGAGCAGAATTCTTAACCCTGCAACGGCTGGCTTACATACCCCTGATGTCCTGGGAGGGAGGCTGGCTCCTCCCCTCCCCTCACACAAAACCATCAATCAGCCTGGGCTCTGAATCCACCTTCTTGCTCCTGGTTCACAGTGTGACTTAAAGCAATTGCTCGGCCCTCTGAGCTTCCGTTTCCCTAGCCGTATAGTGAGGCACACTGGGGCAGGG